ATTGTCATTTTCATTAAAGATATTTTAAACATACATTAAATAATCAAGATATCATTAACAGGTTAAGTAAAATATAATATATAGGCTAACATAGTGCATTTATTTAATTCATTATAGGAACCAAAGTTGTGGACACTGAATCACTTGCCTGTTGACTGTTGAGGTAAATATAATGCAAGTGACAACTATGTTGTTTATAGACGTCTTTCCGCTGCTGAAACACTGATTGAGCGATTACACGAGTTATGATGCTTTTCAGTAAGTATACTGTATCTTTCAACATACCTTCAGGTGTCCATTCTGTATCTGAGGAAGAGATGATCGCGTTTACTCGCGCGCCGCGCTGCCGCTTGACATGAGGATCCATCAGCGATATGTCACGCCACATCACAGGGCGCCAAAACGCCATTGTTTGAATTTCGTGATCAAATAGACAGAATTTGAAAGATTACACCTTGCTTATTATCGAAAGTAACAAAACACGGAGCTTGTTATTTGGAGTTAATGGTGGTTAGGCTACAAAACCAACACTATAGCCGCCTTTCCACTGCACACAACAAACGACCGCCGTCGGACCGGAAGTCATTCATTTCCAATGGAGAGTCGTACGGGAGCTGCGGGGAGTTCCGATCATATGCGTGTGCGGAAAATTCGGATCCGATTTGAGCTTTGGATCCGTTGAAATATCTGAACTTCTGCGGCTAGACCGTATGCGACCGGCCAACCGGAAGTGATGTATTCTAATAAAAACTATGAGTGCGAGGCTAGAATTACAAACTTTAATGTTTTTAATTACTTTAATGTTTTTCTGTAAACACTCTTTCTGTAAAATATTGGTTATAATTAACTATAGCAGAAAAAATATTTTATAATTATTAAATCAATATATTAATTAGCTCTATAAAATGTACTATGTTTTTATTTGAGATGTATTGAGGGTCATTTAAGTGTTGTGTAGATATTTATGCATGCATTACATTCATTAAAATCATTAATTCTACCATTGTGAATATCCGAGGGTAACGGTTGCTTCACGACCAATTTCAAAGTTCCATGCAACTGACACCAGGGGGCGAAATACGACAATCGTATGCGAATGTCGTGTGCAGTGGAAAGGCGGCTATCTCACGACCAATTCGACGCATGATTAAAAAGTGGCTAATTCGTACTAATTCGTACGACCTCACTCGTACTAATGGTGCGTTCTATTATTCATCCCTCTCGGAGATCCGAATCGGACGACAGACGTTGCCTAGCAACACGCCCCCTTTCCTCGGATTTCTCCTCTCGGACGTCGGACAACCGTGAGGACACCGAGCAAGAATTCCGTTTCGGAATTCAAGATGGCTGCGCCCTGTGACTTGTAAGAATGAATTGTTTTCATTGTTTTTGAACCGCTTTGGTATTTTAAATGACGGTTATAATCACTCGTATTGCATGCGTCCCCTGTAGGTATGGGAATCGGTTGTTGTGAGTGCAATTACTGACGTTGCTAGCGTTGCTAACAGAAGATTAACATGAAAAACATTAATAAAGTGAACATTTTTAAGTTCAAATGGCTGCGTTTTAATAAGGTGTACTCATAATATTTTTTTTTAAATGTAAGTGCCTGGTACTCGGCCAGTGCTACCATTATAACAGCTTTCCGGGTGGCGTCCATTTTTTTTCCCGACTCGGACGCGCAAAACAAATAGAACGCTTGAAGTGTGGACGTGACGTCAAATCCGAGGTCCGAGTCGGTTCGTTGGCTATAATAGAACGCACCATAATTCGTACGATTTGTCTAAACCCACGTGATGGTTAGGTTTAGGGGCGGGGTAAGGGGTGTCATTCGTACGAATTCATACGAATTGGCCAATTCGTAAAATATGTACGATTTAGCAAAATCGTATTAATTCGTACGAGTGAGGTCGTACGAATTGTTACGAATTAGCCACTTTTTAATCATTTCGTCGAATTCGTACAGCTGGCATTTTAACGTTGATTCACCGGTGAAACAACGTCAGGGACCATGGTTGGATCAACATTGAATTATGTTTCGATTTTGCAAATCTAATCAACGTTGATTTTGCAACGTTGTTTCACCGTTGACATCATGAATGTTGTTTCACTGTTGATGTCGCGACGTTGTTTCACGGTTTCTCCTTTCAATATGGGTGAGTAAGGTTGTATGTCGAAGTTAAACCAACATTTAATTATGCTTCGGTTTTGCAAATTGAATCAACGTTGCTATCGTGATATTGTTTCAGTCTTACCTTTCAACATGGGAGAATACAATTATACATTAAATTACAACGTAGTTTGAATACACGATCATAACAATGCTAACTGATATAGTGATTAACTGTAGCCTACACTAAAACATTGTTTAATGTCAAATGACTGACAGCAATGGCTTAATTACAAACACATTTAATAAAGAGTTAGCACATGCTCAAGATTGTAAAACAAGTTTTATTTTGGAAAACAAAACAAAAAAGTCTAAAAATACTTTCTACATCTGAAAACTTCAACTTGCAGTGTTTTCAAAGTAATGTTAAAGTAAAGTACAAATCTGAATGGAATACTTAAAAGACAGTTTTTGTTCAATTACAGTAAAACTTAGATGAAATACATTTAATATTTAAAGTGTACAGTAACAGTAGAAAAACTTAGCATCTCAATAAAATACGACAGCCTTTTGCATTGCTAGTAGAGTCCCAGCTCGAGGTCCGTTCCGATGCCATCGCTTCTATCTGCTCTCTGTACGATCCTGTAGCTCATAAATAAAAGCAAAAACAGTTAAAACTGAATACAAAATAATTTACAAGATTTTCACTTCACTGTTCAATAACAGTCAAGTTGAAAAAGTATACAACACTATCCAAGGCATGTTATGTATTCAGATGTAAATGTACAATATCAACCATAATTAACAAGCAGTTCTTCAGAGCCTCAAGGTGGAATTGATTGCTGCTTAATATTAAAGGTCACTTTGAAATAAATTTTTGATATGTTTTATCTTACCTCAAGGGCATCCAAGATGTAGGTGTCTTTGTTTCCACAGTATTTTCAATTTTGACATTTTTAGGTCAAACCGTTCTTGTCTGTCAGTCATATAAACGAGGTCTATGGTCACCACCTCAAAGAGCATGCAGAGAAGTCCAGATTAAACATGATTTAATGACTCGTAAATGATGGCCTAAGACACGAAACGAGCGGTTTGTGTGAGAAAACCAACAGTATTTAGGCCTATATCGTTTTTACCTCTTGTAAGCACAGCCACGTCCAAGTGATCTGAAGGCATAATCGGTCTGCGCAAGCGCCGGAAGTGATTCATTGTTTACACAGAGATTTCGGAAGTTTTAACTGTCACTGGGATCTAAACATATTTAGATATATAGGAAATCGCAATAAAACTTCCGAATCTCTGTGTAAACAATGAATGACGTACACACGCAAGAGATCACTCCCAGCTTATGCGCAGACCGAAGCGCCCGTGCCTTCAATCAGTTGGACGTGGCTGTGGTTACAAGAGGTAAAAACGAAATAAATACTGTTGGTTTTCTCACACAAACCGCTCGTTTCGTGTCTTAGGCCATCAATGTGTACTTACATTTACGAGTCATTCAATCATGTTTAATCTGGACTTCTCTGTGCTGCTCTTTGAGGTGGGCCCCATAAATCTCCATTACACGACTGACAGAAAAGAACGGTTTGACCTAAAAATGTCATAAAAGTGATTTCGCCAGTATTTTTATAGACCACGTGACATTACGACCCCATCCTCTGTTCACATTCCCGCTTTTGTCCTTCATTGACGTATCACAACTCAAATTCGCTCAAAATAAGAATTTAACAAGAATTTATAAAATAATCCGTGTCCGACGGGGTAATAATCAGCAGAGCAGATGCTCACCTCACACACCGACTCAAACAATAACGGACGTATTTTCAAACTTAAAATAGGCACGCATTTTTTCATTGGCTAGTTTCCTGGAAGACAGAAAGATTAACCAATCATGATCAAAGTAAACCGGTGAAACAACCAATAACAGTAGTTTCAGCGTGGTAACGTAGCGAAATGTGTATAGTATATTTAGTTTGCAGTCTGTATTTATTTAATTAATTTGTCAAATGGTGTTTTCATGACAGTGTATGATTAAAAAAAATAATAAAGCATGTTAAACTGTTAGGTAAGCACACAGTATTGTAAATCCACACAAAATCACAAAGCAAAAAGTTTCTGCTGCACTCTTGAGGTTGAAATTATTGGAGAGTTGTCTATAATGATAATAATTATATTTTAAACATATCCATTGAAAGGCTGTATTATCAGAATATCATTATATGGCAGAATATCATTAAATGCTAATAATGATCACAATACTACTTAATAAGGCAGATATTTCTGTTGTATGTTGTTGAAAACATTAAGTTGTTCCAACGTACAGATCTTGTAAAAATTTCAACGTTGATTTAGAAGTGTTTTGTTAACATTTTTCAACCATTTAGCATTCAACGTTATATCAACGTTGTTTCAATGTTGAAACAACAACTGACATTATTTCAACCATATTTCAACGTTGAAGGTCGGTCATATGCCAACTTGGTCGTGAGATCGGGTTGTACAAAACTGAATTTGTTGTGTACTGTTACCATAAGACATGAGGTCCAATGAGCCGGGCTGGGCGGGGCCGGCGTAGCAGGGGGCGGGGCATGTTCGGTACGCAATGAGAGTATCGCGATTCAAATCATAAGTTCTGTATCGCGGTTTTTCGGTTCGGTTAGAATATCGTTACGCCCTGTTTTCAGACATAGTGCAAGTGTGTGTTTGTGAGTCGCAGGGCAGCAGGTGCAGTGTCAGCGCCCCCTGGCTGTGGAGCTGCAGTAGTCGCACAAACTCTTCCGGCATCTTGTGCATGTGGGAGCTCGGACGGCTCAGGTCGTAATAATGGTATGGAATCGGCTGATCCTGCAGGTCGTTATCGAACGGCCAGAATCCGTAAACGTGAACATGCTCACACAGTATATAAATTATTTTCTCGATCCGTCTCTGGTGAGTCGCAGGGCAGCAGGTGCAGTGTCAGCGCCCCCTGGCTGTGGAGCTGCAGTAGTCGCACAAACTCCTCCGGCATCTTGTGCATGTAGGGGTGCGGACGATTCAGGTCGTAATAATGGTATGGAATCGGCTGATCCTGCAGGTCGCTGCCGAACGGCCAGAATCCGTAAACGTGAACATGCTCACACAGTTCCAGTGCAGTGCTGATTAGCATAAACCCAGTGGAGAGGCGCGTCTCCCCGCAGGCCACGCCCCTTCCAGAACCGGTCCAGTGACCGCAGGTAAGAGGGGCTGAAGAACACCACCGGCTGATGAGGTCTGATTGGCTGGAGGACTTTGAGCACTTTGATTGACACTGATGTGCAGAAGGTGTAGGCGAAGGCAGGAATAATGACGGAGGCGTTTCCGTACACACTGACCCGCTCCACCAACGGATCCGGATTCTTCTCCATGTCTTTGTATCTATAGATACACACACACACACACACAATATCAGTAACACATTACAATTAGGTTCATTACTTAACATTATGTATTAACTAACATGTATAACTATAACTATCGGCAATACGTCATTTCTTACAGTATTTATTTTAAGGTCTCATTGTTACAGTGTAATTTTATATTTAAGTACAGAGTAATATCATTAAAAAACATGTAGGGTTGAGGGTTAATTGCATGTAATTATGTATAATTTACATTTATTGCTGTGGTAAGTGCATGTAACATGTAACAAAGACACTGTAAAATAAAGTGTTACCATATTTATTAATATTTGTTAATGTTAGTTTGTGAAGTGTTACCACGTTATCTAATAAACAATATTGAAAAAAAAACAGATCTAACTGTATGCCTGCATATATACAGTATATGTTGGATATATGAGAATAAAAGTGTCTAATATTATTATAATTTTAAATAATCTCACTGAGAGGAGTGTGTGTGTGTGTGTGTGTGTGCACTAACCGGATCTGACTGGGGTTGATGGTTATCAGATCCGTCTTCAGCCCAACATCACTGTCATTAATCACTGCCAAATTAAACCTGAAAGAGAAAAATAAATCTGTGAAACTGGTGCTTCTTCAATCTTTAAGAAGTAAACATAACTGGTGTGCCGTCCAAGCTAAAGTAATGTTGGGATCTACGTATATTATCCATGCGTTTGTTAGAAAGAAAGAGAATCTGATGCTGATGATATTTAATAATCACTTTACTATAAAATCATATTAACATGGTTGTCATTTTAAAATGGTCTCCTACTGACAAACACAACCAGATCTAAAGTGGTGTGTGATTTCATGTTCACAGTCATTGCTAGTGTGACTTCCTGAAGTATGTGATGTGTTCACGACATGTCACACTTGTCTGTTTTATTTGGCCATCTAGTTAAGCATTCACAAAAGAATTTGCTCTAACAGCCTTTGCACAGTAACAGCAGATAGAGCCGGTGTAATATTAGCCCCTCGCCCGAGCTGATAAGAGATGTGTGTCGTGTGCTTTCTGTGTAAATCCACAAAACTAAAGACTGTACACTGATTAACCATTTCAACTCTTCACAGAGAAACTGACTGCAGCTGTTTCACGTTTCAACGCTGCTGTAAAAAACACAAGTGAGCGCACATCACTAGAACTGTATTTTAATTGGGCAAAATCCCCAACAATGAAACTGGACTGATAAACTAGATTTAAAAGAGTTCAAAGTCTCTGTGATCTTCTGGTCCCTCCTCTAATGCGCGTCTGTGGGGTTTTTAGTGGTCAAGAACACAAGGTGTGATGCCACTTATTGAATTTAACTGTTATTGTGCTCTGTAAGTCAATGGCTAACACAGTCTCATCCCAAAAAGTCATATAACTGACGTCTTGGGACGTATTTTGACCATACGTCAATATCCGCCCTATTAGGGCCCCCTTAAACGTCGGTAGATGGCGATCCCGGGCCGTCATACAACTGACGCTTTACCTTTAACGTCAGTTAGGTGACGGGTTAGGTTTAGGTCTGGGGTAGAGTTAGGATCCCATAACCTCATCTACCGACGTTTAAGGGGGCCCTAAAAAGGCGAATATTGACGTATGGTCAAAAGACGTCCCAAAACGTCAGTTATATGACGTCTTGGGATGAGACCGGGTTGCAATGGCAGCCCATAGAACCATATTGTAAAAAGGTGTGAAATTTGGCACATAGATAGAGGACAGTTCAAACATTCAACACAGCAAAATTGGAGTCTCTAACTGATTCGCTTTAGTGCAACTGTCCAAAAATCAACTCTTGGTCCCAACACTTGGTCAGGTGGAACCAGGGATTGAACCACCAACCTTCTAGTTTGTAAACAGAGACTAAGCCGCTTACCGTTTACATTGGAACCGGTTCCCTATTGGCACCGCGTTTCGGTACTCAACCCTATCCATAATGCATCCATCTGCGTATTCAGTACCTTTGTCCAAATTTTCAAAAAGTTTCTGCCAGTGAAATCAAACGCACTGGCGCTGATCTGTGATTGGTCTGTTAGCGCATTAGGTCCAACCCCCTATGGGCGGGTTTGAAAGGGTGGGATCTAGTGCTTGTAGTCTTTACAGAAGTCTTCCTCCTACAATGACGTAAAATGACGATTCTTCATTGTGGGAGGAAGTTAAAAGGGTAAATAGCGGATTTCTCTCGTTTGAGGGGAAATTGAGAGAGTGTTTCACGACCATTCATTAGTATGACTGGATTTCTAACAATGGAAATCTTAATGCAAATGGGTGGAGTGTCCCTTTAATATCTTTCTATTCATAAGGGCCAGAAACAAAATTCTACAATTTTTGAATCATTTTGAATTTTCGAACTCTTCCTAGACAGTTCATCCAATTTTCATGAAAATCTGGCACGTGGTGTTAAGCGACAAACACCTGATCTGTTGCGGGTTATAAAAGTCTTTGTATTGTTGAGTCATTTTGATTCCTTTGTTATTTGGGTAAGTATTGTACTAGACTTCTACATGGATTCGTTTTTGTTCATTCCGTGTCTATTCTCACCTGACGTATTTAGTGCCCAGAAAGTTGTGTGATCAAATAGGATGATCATACTTTTTACTTTAAATGATTCTGATTGCAATGTAAGCAAAGAAATATAAATTGCTTAATTTTTCTACATATTCATGATTGTATGTTCTTTAAGCGATGAACACTTGACTAGGAAGTTGGGGCTTCAAATCCCATGTGATGAAATGTCCAAATTGTTGCATTCAAGAGTTTATTTGGCTCTCTATTGAAACTGTTGTTTTCTGTTATTTAAAAGTAAGAAATAGCCTAGTAAAGGTGCTGCTCCTGGAGATCAGGGTTGGATCTGAAACTTGCAAGTCAAACCATCTGTGCAAGTGCTCTTATTTTATGTTATGGCTGAACGAGCTGACTGTGACAACATTGTTGTAGCCAATGAGGGAGCAAGGAATTATGGGATGTGTTTACCGTATGACGAAATCTGTGCTGTCAATCTCACGTCCACAGCTGCTGTTTTTTAAAATCCCACTGCTGCCGACCACAGCACACCGACCCAGACGCCGACCGGACCAGGGGTAGTCCTGCACACACAGAGACACACATGCACACAAACACTATATTAATGATATTTGCATGAATATTGATGAATATTGAATATTGCATAGTTCGATTTCAAAGGAACTTGCGTTGCATCAAGAATTGGCGCTGTGGGAACGCGTCTGTGTGATTGGGTCGTGAAGCACATGTGAAATCAGTCCAATGGCATGACAACATCATTGGCGGGTGACATCACGGCCAGGAAACTATAATGGTGCGTTCACACCGGACGTGAATAGCGCGTCAGGCGCGAATGATTTCAATGTTAATTCAATGCAAATACGAGGTTCGCGCGTAAAAAAAAAAAAAACCTCTTGTGACTCTTATCCTCAGACATCTAACTCCAGCTATCTCTTCCCTAAATCATCACGTCCCTGAAGGCCCCGATGTTACCCACCAAGCCTGTCTGAACAACATCAACTTTGGTGGGTAAAGCTTATTTGTAAGCAGGTCAGGCTGCGGCATGTCTACACACCATATCTCTGCTTCAGGCGTACCAAACTGACCTGCTAGGAGACCTAGATCTTGAGAGAACTGCACCGGGCCACAGATCCTTCTCTAGGCCACCAAGGAGATGGCTAAATCTATCAGCCGTTCAATAGAGGGGCATCTCTGGTTAAACCTCTCAGGGATAAATGAGAAAGATGAACGTTTCCTCATGGACGCCCCGCTTTCACCTCCGGCAACACAGTCAATACAGTCATCAAGAGGTTTCAGAAGGCAAACAAGCAGGCGGCAGCAACTCTCAGGTCTCATCTTCGTCAAGCCCATATCTCGATGTCCACCCTGAAACGTAGTGGTGCTGGGATGCTCGCTCCCTCTGGGAAGGGTTTCAGAGCAATCAGTTTGGTTTTTCCTTGCCGGTTCACCGAATTGGTCGTTTGAGTAACACCAGAGAGCAGTTTTGAGAGACTGCACGCCCACGGGTCTCGCACGCCCAGATTTATGGGGGTCCCGTCCACAGTGGTAGTCCCGAGCAGGCTCTGGTTATGGACCAGGAGGTAAAAGCTCTACTGGGGAAGGGGGCCATAGACATGTTCCTCCCCCAGACAGGGTTCTACAGACTGTATATTATCATTCTAAAAAAAGCTTGCGTCCGATTCTTGCAGTAAAGCAGCTTTAGGGACTGTTGGGTCTGATAGCAGCTGCGTCCAATGTGATACCTTTTGGCCTGCTGTACATGAGAACCACTATGAGTGGCTCAAGACCAGGGGGGTTTTCCTCAAGGGTCAATCTGATTCACACGATCAAGGTAGAAGTAACCTTGTCGTTGCGAAATGCTAACTACGGATGCGTCCTTCACAGGCCGGGGAGCAGTCTTAGATGGTTGCTCGACTCAAGTTCTGTGGAGGGGTGCCAAAACCAGGGAGCGGATGTACTGTCGAGGGAGGGGCGGAAACCTGGGCAATGGACACCCCACCCCAAGGTGGTGGAGTAGATATAAAGGGTGTTCGACTAGGTCAGGGTTTCTCAAACTCCGTCCTGGAGGGCCACTGTCCTGCAGAGTTTAGCTCCAACCAGTGTTGTAGTCGAGACCACCTCACTCGAGTCCGAGTCGAGACCGAGACCAGAGAGAGTCGAGTCCGAGTCAAGACCGAGTCCATAGAGAGTCGAGTCCGAGTCGAGTCCGAGACCAGAGAGAGTCGAGTCCGAGTCGAGACCGAGTCCATAGAGAGTCGAGTCCGAGTCGAGTCCGAGACCAGAGAGAGTCGAGTCCGAGTCAAGACCGAGACCAGAGAGAGTCGAGTCCGAGTCAAGACCGAGTCCATAGAGAGTCGATTCCGAGTCGAGACCGAGTCCATAGAGAGTCGAGTCCGAGTCGAGACCAGAGACGGTCGAGTCCGAGTCAGGACCGAGTCCATAGAGAGTCGAGTCCGAGTCAAGACCGAGACCAGAGAGAGTCGAGTCCGAGTCGAGTCCGAGACCAGAGAGAGTCGAGTCCGAGTCGAGACCGAGTCCATAGAGAGTCGAGTCCGAGACCAGAGAGAGTCGAGTCCGAGTCAAGACCGAGTCCATAGAGAGTCGAGTCCGAGTCGAGTCCGAGACCAGAGAGAGTCGAGTCCGAGTCGAGACCGAGTCCATAGAGAGTCGAGTCCGAGTCGAGTCCGAGACCAGAGAGAGTCGAGTCCGAGTCGAGACCGAGTCCATAGAGAGTCGAGTCCGAGTCCATAGAGAGTCGAGTCCGAGTCGAGTCCGAGACCAGAGACGGTCGAGTCCGAGTCAGGACCGAGTCCATAGAGAGTCGAGTCCGAGTCGAGACCGAGACCAGAGTTTAAAAAAATATGATCAGTTTAGGGTAAAAAGGCCACATAGTAGGTGGTGTTAAAAGTAATTTTATTACAATTTGTCATGCGCAGTTGCGCATTAGAAATTCACCAATCACTGAGCATGTCAATCAATTTAAAGAAATATTTTATTAACATACATTAATAATCATGAAAAATATTTTGAATTGAACTCGAGTGGACTCGGGAATAATTCCGAGTCCTAAAAAAAAAATGTTCGAGTACGAGTCAATTCCGAGTACAAATGCACACGAGTCCATGACAAGACCAAGACCATTAAAATATGGTCTCGAGTCCGAGACGAGTCCGAGTCTCGAGTACTACAACACTGGCTCCAACCCTGATCAAACACACCTGAGCAAGCTAATCAAGGTCTTCAGGATCAGTAGAAACTCATAGGTAGGAGTATTTGATCAGGGTTGGAGCTAAACTCTCTCCAGGACCGAGTTTGAGAAACCCTGGACTAGGTGTTTGCATCTTGAGGGATGACACCCTGGTTTCCCCTCATGCTTCCCTGGAGAGTTCTGGAGAAAGTTGCCGGGATAAGGATTGTATTACAAAGGTCCCTTCTAATGTGACCAAATCAATTGGTCTGCAGGCCTTCTGTCCTCCACCCTTTCAGGATACTGACCAAAGAATAACCCGCTTTGTCCAGTTTGAGCACTAGATGCCCTGCGGCATAAAACCGAACTACTGTTTGTTTGTTTTTGGGTCACCCAGCAAGGGCTCCCCTTGATCGAAGCAGAGCATGAGCAAGATAGTTGAGGCTGTCTCTCTTGAGTATGAGTCGCCTGGAAAACCTTCTTCTAGGTTTGGCTGCTTTTAGGCTATTTTTATCGTGAGTCTCCCTTCAAGATGTTTGTGATGCAGCGAGCTGATCCTCTCCACACACTTCACATCATGTTATAACCTAGACTTCGGCTCTACACCAGGATCCCAGGTGCTCTTGTCTTAGTGCTGCGCTTCTCAATCTCACACAAGACAAGCATTTGTCATCATGCCGGCGAGGGCATAAATGGTCCCACGGCCTCAATTCTCAATGCAGTGCGAGTTTCATTGAAAGGGAAAGTCTCGGTTATGACTGTAACCGTGGTTCCCTGAAAAGGACCTGCCATACTTCCTGCGTGCTTGTGAGCAACTTGCTTCATCCTATCAGAATCCAGCGCTGCTTGATTCGGGTATACTTGATAGTTTCCTGGTCGATCCCGTCACGCCATTGGACAGATTTCAAACGTGCTTCACAACGTTCATTCCCACAGCGGCTATTCTCGACACGGCGTCTCGTTCCCTTTTCAGGGAACCAAGGTTACAGTCATAACCAAGACTATGCCCATTGATTTATATTTTCTCTGGCCTAACCCAAGCCTTACTACTAAACCTACCCATTACAGAAATATATACAAAATGCTAGATTAAAATGAAAACATCTTTTGGCCAATTTTATAAGCGTTTTTAACTAGTGAAATTACATACAAACACACACACTCTCTTTCACACACACACACACACACACACACCTCAGGCAGCATACTGTGAAGTGCTGCATTCATTTTGTATGTTTTTGTTCTGCTTGTTTCATATTGGATGGATTGATTGATGGCTGTGTTGCGTTGGGTGAGGATGAATGATCCTGTGGCGTTACAACAAAACTGCAACCGGATTCTGTCATAAACACACACAGAGAGAGGGGTTCAGGCCATTTAACTATCAAAGGTT